AACAGCGCCTAGAGGAAAGTTTATAGTTTAAACTGTTTACATTAGAAAACAAAGATGACCAAAAATCAAAGCTTAGATCCTGTGAAGGTGGTGTATCTAAGAGAAGACACACACCTCCATCACCACCTATAAAACTGAGATCCCAAAGGGTGATAAAGGTGAATTAGAAGTAAACAGATCTCACTTCCTGGAAACTGCAAGAATTCTGGGAACGCCGGTGCTGAGCAGAGCAGGGAACAAAGAAAAGAAAAAGAGAGAGAGAGAGAGAGAGACACTCTGGTAGGTTGTAACCACAAGCCAATTTTTATACATGTTTGGGGTAAAATTTCACATCACTTGGGTTATCAAAAAAACAACAACAAAATCAAAAAACCCTCAAGCCCTGAAGTGAGTTTACTTCTTGACTGGTAGTATGCTAGCTGCCAGGCAAAAGCAAACACAAATCACCTCTGGAGGAAAGCACTTTCATCCCAGTCCTCAAAACCACGAATAATTTTACCAGAACAATGAAGAAAGTAATAGTAAAACAACCAAGCACACAGAATGGACTGGAGGGCGAGAAGCAAGAATAGATGAATGGATACTAGTTAGGAAGTTTCAATAAACCTGTGAAAAGTGACGGGGGATGATTTGTGTATTCCTGTTTAAAGTGAGTTTCTTGTAGACAACATATAGAGGGGGCTTGATCTGTGTGTGTGTGTGTGTGTGTGTGTGTGTGTGTGTATTCAACCTGACAACCTCTGCCTTTGAATTGGAGTATTTAGATCATTTACGTTAAATGTGATTATTGAGGGCTTCCCTGGTGGCGCAGTGGTTGAGAATCCACCTGCCAATGCAGGGGACACGGGTTCAAGCCCTGGTCCGGAAAGATCCCACATGCCGCGGGGCAACTAAGCCCGTGCGCCACAACTACTGATCCTGAGCTCTAGAGCCCGCAAGCCACAACTACTGAGGCTGCGTGCCACAACTACTGAAGCCCGCGCCCCTAGAGCCCGTGCTCCACAAGAGAAGCCACCGCAATGAGAAGCCCGCACACAGCAACCAGAGACAAGCCCACGCGCAGCAACAAAGACCCAATGCAGCCAAAAATAAATAAGTTTATTAAAAAAATATGATTATGGATATGTGTAGATTTAAGTCTGTCACCTTATTATTACTTTCCCATTTGTTCCATCTATTCTTTGTTCCCTTTTCCCTCATTATTCTCTTCTATTGAACAACATGAATATTTTTTGATTCTATTTTATTTCTTTTTGTGGCTTATTAGCCATAATTCTTTGTTTTGTAATTTCAGTGGTTACTTTAGACTTTATAGTGTACACCATTAATTTATCACAGTCCATTTTCAGGTGATATACCACTTATATAGAATAAGAACCTTAAAATTGTTATTCCATTTCTCTTTCTTACTTTTGTGCTGGTGTTACCTTGCATTTTACTTTTATATCTTATAAATCCCACATTACATTGTTACTATTTTTGCTAAAACTGTCAACCACTTTTTACAGAGATTTAAATAACATTAAACATTTTTTTATCTATTTTCCCGTGAAGTCACAATTGCTGGTGCTTTTTATTCTTTTGTGCAGATTGGTATTTCAATTTGGTATCTTCTGTCTAAAGAACTTCCTTTAATATTTCTCATAGTTCTAATCTGCTGATTAGGTGTTTATTGCTTTTGGTCAGATAAAGAAAAAATATTTTACAGTATTTCAGCTAAGGGCTGAGTCAATTTTAAAAAACAAGATTATCCACTAACAAAATACTTAATTGTATAGGCGATTTTTAAAAATAAAACAGAAAACTTACATCTATGGTGTAATGAACATCATTCAATTCCTACATGTGACTAGACGAATTCCTTTATCTTTCATGTATCTGAAATAGCCCTTATTTCACCTTCATTTTTGAAAAATATTTTTGCTAGGTAAAATATTCTAGGCCTTTCATTACTTTACAGATTTTACTCCACTGTATTCTTGTTTGCATTGTTTCCAATGAGAAATCTGTGATCTATGTTTGTTCCTTTATACATAATATGACTTTTGTTCTTAGCTACTTTTAAGAATCTTCTCTTTATCACTGATTTTGAGGAATTTAGTTATGTTATGTATTGGTTTAGTTTTGTTCCTGTTTCTCATGCTTATGGTTCATTGAGATTCATGGATTAGTAGGTTTATAGTTTTCACCAAATTTCAAAAAAATTCAGCCATTATTTTTTCATATATTCTTTTTTTATCCCTTCTTCCAATTTTTTCTCTCCTTTAGGGACAGCAAGTACATATATATTTGAGACTTAAAGCTTTTCCACAGCTCATTGGTGCCATAGTCACTTTTTATTTTTATTCTCTTTTCTCTCTGCATTTCATTTTATATAGTTTCTATTGCTATGCCTTCTAGTTTACTAATTGTTTCTTTTACAAAGTATAATCTGTCGTTAATCCTATCCAGAGTACTTTTTATCTCATATGCCATAGTTTCCAGCTCTAGAAGTTTAATTTGTGTCTTTTAAAAATCTTTCAGGTCTCTATTTAACTTTTTGAACATATGGAATGCAGTTATAAAAACATTCGAAATGTCTTTATCTGCTAATCCCAACACCTGTGTCAGTTCTGGGTGAATTTTGATTGATTGATTCCTCTCTTATCCTAGGATATATTTTCCTTCTTGTTTGCATATTTGTTTTTTTCCAATATTAAATTTTTATCAAGATATATTTCATATACCATAAAACACACCTTTTTAAAGTGTACAATTCAGTGGTTATAGTGTATTCACAAAGTTGTACAATCATTATCACTATCTAAATTCCAGAACATTTCAAGATCTTCAACAAGAGGCCCTATATCCTTAAGTAGCAATTCCCCATTACCTCCTCTCAGCCCCTGGCAACTACTAACCTACCTTCTGTCTCTATGAGTTTGCCTATCTTAGACATGTAATATAAAAAGAATCATACAATATGTGTTATTTTTGTGTCTGGCTTCTTTCATTTAGTATGTTTTCAAGGTCCATCAGTGTTGGAACATGTATCAGTACGTCATTCTTTTTTATGGCTTAATAATATTCCACTGTATGGATTTAACACATTGTATGTGTCCATTGATCAGTAGATGGACATTTGGGTTGTTTCCACTTTGGGGGTACTGTGAATAATGCTACTATAAACAATCATGTACAAGTTTCTATATGAGTATGTTTTCAATTCTCTTAGGTATTTACATAGAAGTAGAATTGCTGGATCACATGGTAACTATGTTTAACTTTTTAGAGAACTGCCAAACTGTTTTCCAAAAACGTTGCACCATTTTACATCCCCACAAGCAATGTATGGGGTTCCAATTTCTCCACTTGTTATTGTCTGGGTTTTTTAAATTATTATTATAGCTATCCTAGAGGATGTGAAGTGGTATCTCGTGGTTTTGTTTTACATTTACATAATGACTAATGTTGTTGAATATCTTTTCAGGTGCTTATTGGGTACTTGTATGTCTTCTCTGGAATAATGTATACTTAGATCCTTTGCCCATTTTTAAGTTGGGTTATTTATCTTTTTGTTATTGGGTTGTAGGAACTTTTTATATACAAGTTACCATTCTAGATACAAGTCCCTTGTCAGATATATAATTCACAAAAATTTTCTCCCATTCTGTGGGCTGTCATCTCATTTTCTTAATGGAGTCCTATGAAGCTCAAAAGTCTTTAATTTTGATGCTCTCCAACTCACCTAGTTTTTTCTTTTATTGCTTGTGTTTTTCGTGTCATCCAAAAAACCATTGCTAAGCTAAGATTACAAAGATTTGCCCCAAAGTTTTCTTCTCAGGGTTGTATGGAGTTTTAGTGCTTACATTTAGATCTTTGTTTCATTTTGAGTTAATTTTTGTATATGGTGTGAGGTAGGGCTCCAAATTCATTCTTTTGCATATGGATTATCCAGTTGTCCCACTATTGTTTGGTAATAAGATTATTCTTTGTACATTGAACTGTTTTGGCACTCTTGTTAAAATTAATTGACCATAAATGTATGGGTTTATTTCTAGACTCTTTACTAAATTTTATTGCCCTATAGGTTTATCCTTATGATAGTAACACATAGCCTTGATTATTGTAGTGTTATAGTAAATTTTGAAATTGCAAACTGCGAGTCCTGCAACTCTGATCTTTTTAAAGGTTGTTTTTGCTATTGTGGACCTCTTGTATTTCCAGATGAATTTTAGGATAAGCTTGCCAATGTCTAAAAGAAAAGCCAGCTGGAATTTTGATAGGCATGCACTGAGTCTGTAGAACAACTTGGGAAGTACTGCTAATTAATAATATGAAGCCTTTTAATCCATGAACATGCAATGTCTATTTATTTAGGTCAATTTAATTTCTTTCAATGATGTTTTACAAATTTCAGTGTACAATTTTGTTTTGCTTCTGTTCATTTTATTCCTAAGTATTTTGTTACTTTTGATGCTATTATAAATGATTATTTCCTTAATTTTATTTTCAGATTGTTCATTGCTAGTATATAGACATACAATGAAATTTTATATATTGATCTTGTATCCTGCAACTTTGCTGAACTCATTTATTAGATCTATATTTTTTGTATATGGATTCCTTAAGATTTTCTGTATACAAAATTATGTTATTGGCAGATAGAGTATTTGTCTTCTTCCTTTTAAATCTGGATGCCTTTTATTTCCTTGAATATTCAGTACAATGTTGAATGGAAATGGTGAGAGCACACATCCTTTTCTTGTTAGGTGTGCTATTACCAGCTCTTCCTAGGGCCAGCCAAGGAAAATGCTGTCTTTAAGTCCCAGCTCACCCCAGAGCAGGCTACAGTGAAACAGTCATCCATATCATGAGAGATATAGGTACAAACTATTTGCAAAGGATGCTAAGACTTCTTTGGAGAAGTCTTTGTCATGCTCATCATTCCGAACAGCTCAGATAAGTCTTCTCTCAGGCTATTTTTTTAAAACCTATAATCCTGTGTCCTCTCTTCTTACCTCTGGGCGTTGCTTCCTTTCTCCCCTTTGCTCATCTGAAAAATTTGTCCTCAAGATCACTTTTGCAGTGTGCTCTTATCAAACCTCTGCTAAGCTCTCTTTCTCAGAAGCCTAGGTCTTCTCTTTCATTTTCATTTTCTTCCAGTTCACATCATTAATATATCCTAGAGGAGAGAGAAACAGCTCTCTAGAAAACCAGTAGCCATCATGGATTCTGGTATTTTCTGGCACTATTCGCCATGTTAACTTGCCTACCACCTCCAACATGTACATACACACACTCTGCTCACACTCCACAGACATACCCCAGCGCACATATCACACAAACACAAACCATGTACCACAGTCCACACCTAGCACACACCACCACACACCCCACAACATACACTATACACACACATACACACATGTACCAGACACCATATCACACAAATCACACACATGCAAGCATGTATCACAGACTACATATAGCACAAACCATCACACATCTCACATATCACCCACGCCACACTACATACATTACACGCATGTGTGCACACCTCCTATGATGTGTGTTTAGTGCAGCATAAAGTTACTCTCTTGTTTAACACATACCACTATGCCTGGAGCCACTCTAGACACTCGAGATTCATCAATTAAAAACACAGACAAAACTCCCTACCGCTGTGGAATTTGCATTCTCATGCAGGAGGCAGACAATAAGCAAGATAAATAAAATAAATAAAATATTCAGTAATAAGTGCCATGGGAACAAAAGAGAGCACTGTTAGAGGGCTTGGGAGTGGGGGAGGGGTGCAACTGTAAACTAGGTGGTCAGAGTAAGCCTGGCTGAGAAGAGACACCTGAAGGAGTTGAGGGAAGGCACCCTAGGGATATCTAAGGGATGACTGTTCCCCACAGAAGGAGCAGCCAGAGTCCAGGCCTTTTTAAGGAGACTCCAGTGACCCACTCGCCATTCTGGGTCTTCAGCTTCCTACAGCCCAGACTCACAGGGTCAAGCCCAGCCTCACTTACTGGAGGGGATGCATCCCCCATGGGGCAGCTCCGATTGGTCTCTCCCTAGGCTCACCTTTGGAGAACAAATCTCTGAAGCCTCATCTGCATCCCTCTCCCCTTTAAGACCTGCAGCTCTCTGTGTGAACCAGTCCCTCCTTCATGGAACAAGAAACAGGTGCAAGATGGGGCAGCTGTCACAAGACACTCCCCATCATGAGGTTGATGCTTTTGTCTTGCTTGTGTTGCCTGTAGTGGCAGTCTGTTTTCTTTTGGGCATTCACTAGCTTCCTTTTCCTGATCCTTTGACAGGACAAATTTGGGGTGAGCTGTGCCTACGTCCAGAGTCACAGCCACAACAATGAAAGTCGTGGGAATCTGTAAGGAGTCATCATCGGATCAGGGATACAGGGGCTCGTTCTTTCTCTTCTGTCTGTGTGCTGGTTGCCTCAGGAGTAGCTCTGTCCTGTACTGTGTGCAGGGCCTGCTACTACAGGACATGCCTGAGCACGATGATTCAGTCACCTGGTGGCAAAATGGCAGAAGGCTCTGTGGGCACCCAGGAGGATGCGGTGCTGAAGAGAGACTCCTGTTTGGGTGGGAAGAGAGGAACCTGTTTCACAATTTTGCCTCCAGACTGAGCTGCTGGACCAGCAGGACTGTGGCTGCACCCAACTCCCCCCAGCCTCCATCTGTGGGTCCGTTGCCCTGAGCACAGGCTTCCGTGAGCTTTCAAGGTCAGCAGCTGACCTGCCAGGCCAGGGGCCCAGAGTTTACCCCAGGCAGCTCTCAGAAGCCAAATTTAACTTCCCCTGCCTGTGTCCTCAGCCTTCCTTACTGGCTCCTTTGGGCCACTGCATATATTTATTTCCTAAGCAAACACTTATTGTGCACTTATCATAAATACATCTTACACCTAAGGCTATAAATGTGGCAGGGTCTTATTTATTTATTTATTTTTTGCCCATTAAATAATAACTCTAAATTGGGTAGGGACAGTATTTTTGCTCTTACTTTGAACTGGAGAGGCTGGAGCTGAGGCACCAAGTACTCAATCCCAGACCCCACAGTCTTTCCTGCACATTGCAGGCGATGGCCCCCAGCTGAGGCCACTCACTGCTGGGCCATTAGTGGCTCCCGTTTGCTGTCCTTGGTGCCTGACTCTGACTATTGATAAGTATTTGAATCTTGCGGAGGGATACCGAGGAGGAAAATGAGACACAGTATCAGGACAGAAAAGAATGGGAGAACGGCTTGAGCAAATTCTCTGATACCAATGAGCCCTATTATTGTACCGTCCCTTTTTTCACCACACCCTTCAGAGCAGTTCTAAAACAATCGGCGACTAAAAATAGTAAAACATAACATCAGCCAGAAAGGCTTATAAATCCCAAGGGGGTTGGTGGCAAAAGTAGAAAGATCTCACGTCAGAGTCTGTGAACTCTGCAGACTTCCTGCTTTTAGATCCTCTGTGCTGGGGTCACACACAAAAGAGTTTACTGAATTATTAAGTTGTCCCTTCGTTTTATTGCTGTAAAAGAAAAATATTTTTCCTACTGTCTCCCCTCCCTTTCAGGACAAGCTGAGTGCAAAAGACACCGGCAATTTCACGAGCTTCCTCCCCGGATCTACAGGGCGCCACCTCCCACCGCAGTTTCACTTCTGAGTTTAGTCCAGTCTGAGTTAACTTCCTCACCCAGATCTCAGGAACCGGCAGCTACGGAGGGAGCTAGCAGTGCATATGTGCCTGCTGCATGGTGAAGGGAGTGGGAAGGGTCCAGGCCCAGGTTTTTTCGGTGGAGGGAAAAGAGACGTGTGTGTGTGGGGGGGGGGGGGGGGGGGGCGCGGGGAAGGGAGTTTGTTTCCTGATAACAGCTGCTGGAACTCTGAAAATGGTCAGGACTGTGCTTCATAGCTCTCACACCCTGTCTGCTTTCTCTTTCGCCAGACTCCATGTCAGATCTCCGAAGATCCAGGATGTGAGGTGAGTGAAGGCCCAGGACAAGAACCCTGGGGCCTCAGAGGAGAGGACGTCCTTCTTCCCGGGAGCAAAGCACCCCTGGCAGAGCGGAGCCTAGTGTATCTCTTGGGGGAGATAACCCGCCAAAGAATAGAAGTCTCCGGAAGAAATTCTCTACGGATCCAAGAGAGTGGTCCTGGTTATTAGAGGGACATAGCCTATCCAGTAACTTTAGTTGAATCCCTGCTTTTAATTCTGCCACTGTCAGTTCAAAGGAAAAGCCACTCTCTTCCTCCGTCCTCTGCTGCCCTCCCTGACAAAATCCCAGGAATGGGGAAGCAGGGAACAGGGCTAGGTTCACGAAGCAGCCGGAGCAGTGGGTGAAGGGACCGAGTCCTTTGTTCCTAGTCACCCCTCCTTTGTCTATTAGTTGTCAGGTCCTCGCTGGTGGACACTAGGTGTCCAGCACCCAGGATCCTACAGAGGCCCCACCTTCCCCATCTGCTTCCCACCTCCCCGCATCCTGGGTTCTGCCAACCCCCTGTGATCCAGTCACCCTAAACTTCTCCTGAGAGACAAGTCCTGGCCTGAAAAGATAGATAGTCACTTCCCTAGCTCTCCAGGAGCTCTGCACCCCAGGACCAACCCCTTCTCTTCCCAGCTGTCTTTCCAATTCTCTTTTCCTCAGGTCAGGGAGGGCAAAAAGAACTTGTTGGTTTTTCTGGTTGTCTTTTTTACTTTCATTATCATCCTGGTTGGGTCTCCACTGGGGACTTTATTAACCTGCTGTCTTTTGTTCTTTGTGGGGTGGGAGTGAGGGTTTAATTAGAGTCAAATTTAAGGAATTCCTGGCAGTCCAGTGGTTAGGACTCCTCGCTTTCACTGCCGAGGGCTCGGGTTCAATCCCTGGTCGGGGAACTAAGATCCCACTAGCTGAGAGGCGCGGCCAAAACAAACAAACAAACAACAACAAAAAATTAGAATCAAATGTGATTGTCTCAGTGAAATCCTTCATAGACCACCCAGTTACCTGGATGTAAGTGTTACTACCAGTTACAAAGAGATAACTCTGGTACTAATTATTCTTAATATTCATTAGAGCAGGAAAGAGTTTGACAATCCCTCACTGAGTTCTCTCTCTTGCTGCAACTTTGGTGAAGAAGTCTGCCTCATTTCTCTATCTCTCTCAGTGCTTGGCCCAAGAAAACTTTTCACAATAATGGAATGTTCTCTATCTGGGCTTTCGTGTAGCTACCAATCACCTGCGCCTATTAAGCACTGAAATGTGGCTAGTGGGTGTGAGAAACGGAATTTTAAATTCTATTTAATTGTTATTAATTCAAAGTGGCCACATGTAATAGTCACTACCATATTCCACAGCACAGCTACATTTGATGCATCTTCTAAATTCCAATCTATTTCTTCTCTCTAGAGAGAAGACCACGTGACCTGTGGAGGCCAGTGGCAGCCAGTGCATCGGAAAGAGGCTCAGACAAGGTGAAGTTCCATCACTGTGGGAAAGTTCTGGCTGCTTCATCTCTGCCTCTAGATCCAATATTAGAGATTTTCAGGAAAAGCCATGGCCTCAACCCCAATCACCAAGAAGATGAGGGAGGAAGCCACCTGTTCCATCTGTCTGCAACTGATAACTGAGCCAGTGAGCATCAACTGTGGACACAGCTACTGCCACTTGTGCATAGTGAGCTTCTGTGAGATGCAACCATGGCTGGAGATGTTCTCCTGTCCCCAGTGTCGGATGCCATTTAAAATGGCGAGCCTCCGACCCAACAAGCAGCTGGGAAACCTCATTGAAGCCATCAAGGAGATGGACCAGGAAATGTCATGTGAGGAACATGGAGAGAAGCTCCATCTGTTCTGTGAAGACGAGGGCCAGCTCATCTGCTGGCGCTGTGATCGAGGATTGCAGCACAAAGGGCACACCACAGCTCTGGTGGAAGATGCATGCCAAGGTTACAAGGTGAGTGGTGGGCCAGAGGACCTTGGCGAGTACCCGGCCTCATGTTGCCCCCCAAGACCTGAAATTATTTAGCCTGAAACCCAAGATTAGGATCCTGAAATATAACTTTCATCATGTCATTCTTCTGAAAAGTAGTTTATGATGGGTCCTCACTGAATCAAGGCCTGATGGTCACTCTTGTCCCTACCCACTCTTGATGAACTCCTCCCCGTTCTAGAATGCCATGTGCTCCAATGCACACCTGCATGTTTTATTGCCTCACACCGTCTGTGTAATTTGAGAAAGCACAATGTGCAAGTCCATGGGATAGAGTCTGAAAACACAGGGGACGAAGACACACCCCCTTTTAGGTATCCTACAGTCTAGTAGGGCAGACAAACCAGCAGAAAGGCTGCCTGAAGTCCCCTGATTTGGATGGTGGAGAGGAGCACCAAGGGGTGTGGAGTGGTAACTGAGGAATCTTCCCAAAAGTGACTCTTGAAGAACACATAAAAAGTAACCAGATATAGAAGTATGGAGAAGAGAGAGGGCATTCCAGACCGAGGGGCCCACTTGTGCAAAGGCACAGCTATGAGAGCGTACCTGACTCGCTGTGACCAGGCCAGAGGGTGTGTGCAGGGAAGGCAGGTGATGTCATGGGAAAGGAAGTCAGGGCCCAGAACTTGGTATCCGCTCGGAGTCTAAGCCCTAGCCCAGAGTAGTCCTGGCCACGGGGGGATTTTCATTTGCACAGTGAAGGATCAGGTTGACATTGAAAAGAACATTCTGGTACTGATACAATGAAAGGAATACCAAAGAGTAAAATTTAGATTATTCCTATAAGAAGGGGGAAAGGGAGCAATTCCAGGCAAGATTCAGGAAGGGGAATGAGTGGAAGGGTTTGGAAGTGATTGGTCATGGAGTATGAAATGGAGGGAGAGGTTTTGGGCAACTCCTGTTTATCACTTAAGAGCATATTAAGGAAGGCTGACCTTTGCTATTGTGGAACGAAGGAGGCGGCATGGTCCTGCTGCCTTATTCCTTCTCTGCCCTGGCTAGATTTGAGAAAATTGTCGTCCCCAGTGTGAGCTCCTTGTTCCCTCCCCTATGACGTGGAGGTGGTCTTCTATTAAGGTTCTGGGTCCTTCATCAGGACGCGTCAATACTGACCACCACTCGGCACATGGCAGCTCTTCCTTAAGCTCCATGGAGCAGCTAATTACTGTAATGGGGATATTCCCATTGGAATTATTTTCCCACCAAGTAGTAAAGGGAGCAGCACGGGGTGATGGTTCTAAGCCTTGAGAGTCAGACTGCTTAGTTTGAAACCTTAGTTCTGCTACTTATTAGATGGGTGACTTTGAGCAAAGTTATGTAATGTCTTCATGCCTTGGTTTCCCCAACTATCAGTGGGGATAATAGTAGTTCCCTTCCTCTCCGACATACATGCTCAGGAGGTTGTTATAAGCTTTAGGGACATTAATACATGTAAACCTTAGAATAGCACTCGGCACATAGTGAGGGCAATACAGTCTTTTGCTAACAAGTTCTATAGAGCCCTTTCTTGAGAGCACGTGAGAACTGAGTATACCTATTGGCTTTAGGACAAGAGCTGATTCTTTTTCTTTTTAAATCAAGATAAAATTTCTTTTTTTTCTAATTAATTAATTCA